TTCCCTAAAGCCCTGTTTCTCCAGTTAATGAGCTGCCAGGTTAATCTGCCCTCCAAAACAAGTAATGGCCTAATAAATGCTTAGACGTGGAGGGGATTTAGCGAGGCAAAATTGTCCCAAAACCAATTCTTCGTCTTCCAGGAGCTCTTTCTTAAAGCATTAGGTTTATGGTGGTCATTCCAAAAGAAAAAAAATAAAAAGAGTCAACTCCATTTTCTTTAAAATGTTTCCTCAGTGATGTGATTTAAGAATGGAGTATAAACTGGCTTGACAGTGTTCTGCTTTAAGCTGTTATTTAATGGAGAATTAGTGTTGTGTGATTTATAGACTGATGGTTAAAGCAAGAAGGGGCCTGAGAAAATCTTCTTAATGACTTAGAGCTGATGTGGCCTCAGCCACCAGAGGACTGCTGTTTCCAGGCAGAGCTAATACTGCAGAGCTGGCTTGAGAGTCACAGCAAGCCCACATAACACTGACCTGGGCCAGTGACTTGAAGTAGCACGTGCAATAATAGCTGTCCTACAATAAGCTGTTTCATAAAAACAGCAAGCATGACAGCCATTTCAGTATATACAGGGCTTGGTAATTAGCAATTAAATTGAACTGCCCTTAAATGAGAACGGGAGCGTATGCTACAGATATTTAACATCACACCAGTGACATGTCCTACCCCTGCTGGGGCAGCACTTCCCTCGTGAAAGCAGCCTAGACCCACTGATCCAGACTCGGAATGGGCAGCCCGCCTGCAACCCCAAACCTCCTAACAAATCCGGAGATCAACCCACACGGCCGCTGCAACCAAGCTGACGCAGCGACATCCAAAAACTCTCAACCATGACCACCACTAGCTGCCCAAAGGGAACAGGCAACCCAAATACTCACGGACCCAGCGTCTAGGTTCTGTTCCTAAGAGGACGCTCTCCTCACAACACCTGAGCCCCATGGTGTCTTCACGGATTGAAAATCGACAGCTACACCTGACCTAAATGAAAGCCACTTGCTGAGGAAAAAGTACTCCTGAGAACCCACAAAAGAACTGAACGTGTCCTCCCTGTTGGTGACAGAGACATCGGTTCCAACCCCAGGACCTCAAAGTATTTTCCAAAATAATCCTAAGGAAAATGGGGACAAGTTCATAATTCCTCTAAATACCAGGCAAAGGATGTATCTATTGATAAAGTAGATCCCACCTCTCTCTCATTGGTTACTCCAGCATCCCCATTTCATGGCTCGGAAATTGTAATTTGCCCCCATGAATTGTATTTTAGGCTAAACTCAGCCTGGAATTTGTTTAAAAATTTAAGAACGTGTCCTTGGCCATTTTCAAAAATCAATTTTAAACATCTCGGTGCGCTCATATATTTTGAATCAAAAAAATTCACTACATCTGGAACTTTGCCCCAGACCCTGAATTATTAATTGAGGTTAATATATATTGTGATGTTCCAGGAAACCCTGACTCACCTTCACTGTGTCTCCCACAAGTAGCACGGCATTTGACGTGGGAGCCTGTCCACGTGGAAAAGTGTCCACACTCTCCGGCCACATTTTAAATCATGCCAGATATCTTAACTTCCGTCAAATACAAAGATATTTCTAAGGGCCCGTTAACGACTAGAATATTCTACTTCATTAGCAGGAATTTTTCCCATCAGCCAGCTGCTGCATGGTTCCTCTTATCTACCTAGATCAGTGGTCACTCCTGCAGCCCCAGCAGGATGCGCTCCCCTCCTGTCTACGGCCCGAGTTGTCTGTCCTCTGGCACGTCCGCATCATTCTCTGAACCATCCTGACCTAACCCACTTTGTTTCACTCGACCACATGGGTTTTCCGGTTCTCTATGATGTATCTCCAGGTCATTTTCTGACTTCCTTTTTAAAAATCCTGGACACAATGCACTGGAGGAGGGCGGCAATGGATTCAGACACGTGAACCAGTTTCCAGTTCCAAACAGAGGGTTATCAATCTGAGTTTCTTCCAGCACCCACCATGGGAGTTAATGTTCCTGTCCCCCACCCCCGCTCCCCAGACACTGGTTGTCTCTGCCCTACTTTAAAGTCTACTTCGGTACCTATTTAAAAAAAAAAATACGATGAGGCACAAGTCAGTCCCTTTCCCAAAGGACACCTTCCAAAGGGGACTGTGGTGTTCTACAATAAAGCAATGTAAACTCAAGAAGAATCGACACCACCATCGGATAATGGACAGACATGTAAATCAAACCTGAAACTAAAGAATACGGTTTCCAGATGTGACTTTCGCATTTAATATTCCTGGTAAGTCCAAACTGGAAGACAAATACTTGTGCAAAACAGTGTTAGAGGGTAATAACTTACAGCTTAAATTCCATCTTTCCGTTGCTCTTGCCCTCCCTTAAGCCACCTTCTTTTCCGGTGGAGTCTTGTGGGTTGTACAAATACGAGCAGGCTTCAGGAAGCCAAGACCAGGCCCATTTGCTGGGCCTCATAGGTCCCGGCTGCTGCACCACAGCGGGGCGGACCCTTTTTCAAAACAGACAAATTGGAAGTGAGAAATGCACAACGACTCCGTCTTTGGTTTTTTGCTTAGACTCTGCTGGAAGCACCAGGAGCCTGGCTAAGAGCCGCCCGGCCCAGGTTTCCAGGGCCACACTCAGTAGAAAGCTGTTTCACGATCCCCGAAACACAGAAGGGCCGCCTCTGCTCTGCAGGGTCTCGGGAGATTCTTCTGCTCCCCTCCCGGACTCGGGGCTTGACTACAACCACCAGACCTGTGACTGCCCCCTGCCCCCCAGCTCAGCAGGGACACCCACAGAGAGACAGCGGGGGCTTCCAACTTCCCTCCAAACAGGAGGCGCATCCTCTCCACGTGTTTCTTCCTTGCCTAAAACAGGAGAGTAGAACTGAATATTCATAAATATCAGTTGTTTAGGGTCTCGTTTTTTTAGCCCACAATTGTGTTTCCCCCTCTTGAAGGCGGTTTAAGGAGACTGCAGCTCTAAGTATAATTACGCCTCTTGGAGCAGGCTGAAAAGCAGCAGAGAGGTACTAATACCTCACAAGTACCTTCTAATGAACCCCATTACTCAGAAGGCCGCATTTCTGTGCAGAGTGAGTCACCAGCAGGCACTTGGCTTTGCAGGTCTCCCTGAGCCCTGTCTGCATTTACATCCCAGTTCCCAAAGTGGCTGTACAGTTCCTGGTTCTCTACAAAGTGCAACAAATTAGAAGAAGCAAACAGAATTTAAAATGTTTTTACAGGTTGTAGTTTTCTCTCCCATTCTATATACCGCCCCCCCCACACACACATACACACCAAAAAAAAAAAACAAAAACAAAAACAAAACCAGTATGAAATAACTTCACAAATTAATGTTTTTCATAAAACGCTTTTAAAAATAATGATGGCTGTCTTCTTATATAAGTATATGATAACATGCTTTCTTCCTATGATCGAACTCCTAAAACCCAAAGTAACAGTTTGCATAGGCATATTTCATTTTGTGCAAATTTTACTAAAATAAGGCTGTTTTCAGTGCTTCAGTAGTGATACACTGATTAAAGAAAGCTCTCAAGCAACAAGAAAATGTCCCTGCATTCCAAACCCTCCCCAGCCACATCTTACTTCCTAGGCAGAGAACAGAGACCAGTGGATGTGCCTCCACCATAAGGCAATACACATGGAGCAGAAAACAAGTCTTGGAAACACAGTGCAGAAGGGCATCTCTGCTTACGTGGTGGAGGCAAGGGGTGGGGCTCTATCCTTCCCTTTCGTAAAACGGAAGCCAAAATGCAGAGGCCACAGGAGCAGACACACATTCGTCACCTGTTAAAGAGTCAGCCTCTGACACAGGGTACTTCCAGAAATCAGCGAACCCCAATATTCGCTTGGTGTGAGCTAAGCTGCAAGATGAGCTGATTCAAAAGGATGGGAGAATAACAACCAAAACGTCTGAGGAAAAATTGAGCAAAGAAAACCTGCCAAAGGACCAACCAGCTTATGAGACTTAACATTCTGTATAACGCGGGATGAAAAGACCTGGCTAGAGAGAGGACGTGTACAGAAAATTCCCCTCCCCAAAATCAAGTATTGTCAGGAAATATCAAAGTAGAAATTTTTGTAAGCAGCTTTGCATTTAACATTCAGTCAGACACTAAAACCTTTAAAAACAAAAACAAAAACAAAAAAAAACACTAACAATAGGAGTCCTCGAAGTCACCCAGGACCTTGCAGCACAGAATGGAGTGTTCCTGGGCCAGGGCAGCCAGTTCTTTCAGGAACTCCGGGAAGAGGGCAGCTGCCAGCATGGCGTTCCGCACGGACAGGGGCAGGCCTGCGGGCACCCCCGCCACCTTGGCTCTGTTTGTCAGGAAGGGCTGAAGCACTCTCGGGGGACCATCCAAAAAGTTCTTGCCAATTCCTGTCCTGGAGGCGTCCTGAACGGGATCTGAAACCAGAAAGCAGACTGTCGTGGTCACCCTCTACAGCCCATTCGAGTGTGTGTGTGTGAGGGGGACAGGGTGGGCGGAGAGGGTCTGGTCGCAGGTCCAGCTGACAGAAGAATGAAGGCATGGCCCTTAGCGCACACCTCAGTCCACTCCGTGGCACAAATAGTTGCTCAGCAGAGAGTCCCAGCACAGGGCATGTAATAGGAGGCTTTTATCCCAAACCCTGTCTAAGGAACTCTGTGCAGAAATTGTAGCACGAATTTAAGTTTATCAAGAACTCTCCATGCCCAGGGCATGGAGAGAAGAAAAAACGAAAAAGGCATCTCCTGCCACTGTGTCAACCGAGTGAAGACTTAGCTCACCACGATGGTTATTTAAGGACGTCCAGAGGCTCCGCTGACAGTCCTACCTTTGCCAGCGAAGCCCTGGTCACGTCACGTAGCCGCAGGAGACAGGCTGGGTCACACAAGCCACTCTACGCTCTCTGCATCTTCTGGCCTGGACATCCAGCCCTCTGTGGAGAATGGAATGCAAGAAGCCTTTTCCAGGTTGAAAACAATGAAGAGGAAGCTGGGTGCTGGTAAGACCAGACCGGGCACTTCCCGTAACTGTGGACGCCTTGTGGCAGCAGTGGCTTAGAAGCCTCCACTTTCCAGGAGTTGCGATCTCAGTTTCAGTAACATAGGTCTAAGATGATATGAGCTCAAACTTTAACATACGTGAGCGATTTCCATGTTCATATCAAAGCAGGTTTACCAATTAAAATGGTTCAACTTTCCCAACTATTTAATTCCTGAACATGTGACCATCTCCAGCCTTCATATATGAATAGGAATTATTCATGCCTTCTTCTACCCCCTACTCAAACAGTCTCATTACTCCTTATAAATCATTATATTTGAGCTCTTCATTATTTTGGCTGCTTTTCAGAATTCAGTCCCATTTTTCAACACTCTTCTCAGAGCGTCGCTTAACCATGGTACTAAAAATTTTTGACATTTATAGTACTTTCCACATCTCACTACTATAGTCTTTAGTGTTGAAAAAAAAAAAGTCCTCTAGTTTACTGCTTTAAATATCTTTTAAAGCTTATCACATTACATGCCATAAAGAACTAGAAAAGTTGTTGAGAATCTGTCTGCTGCTATCTTTCGGCAGAAACTGACAACATGTCCTGATAACAGAGTGAGGACAGAAGTGTTAACATCACCGAGATACACTGCCAACCTTGGAGATCACCCTTGAACACGCCCACCCTCGCCCTCCAGCGCTGCAGCTCTCCAAAGGCCCCCGCCAGGCTCACAACGGAAGCTGGCCTGGGTACCGGTGGGGAGCAGGACACTCATGGGCACTTATCCCAGACTAAGACCTGCACTGTGCACGCTGGTTCCCCTCATCTCTGCTTAAATCTTAACTAGCCCTCAGGGAACACCAGTCCAGTGGTTAAGAGCACAGACTCTGCCATTTATTGGCTGATAACATCAGGCAAGTGGCTTTACCTCTCTGTACCTTAATGTCCCCATCTATCAAAAGCTCATAGAGTTGTTATAAGCATTAAAGGGTCAACAGGTATAAGGGCCTCTTGATAAGTGTCAGCCATCAAATCATCTCTCACTGACGGTTTCCTCCTGTTTCCTGCCTCTCAGAGTAATTTCCTGTTCTAGCCTCCCACCCCATTTTATTTACCAACTAAGGCCTGCATTGCCTTTTAGCCTGCATTGCTGTTCATGTCTTTTCTCCACTAGACTTTGAGATTTGAGAGCTGAGCCCCTACCTACGTTCACAGCCCCCAACACACTTCCTGATTGTAGAAGAAGCTAATAGACATTTGCTAAACGCATGAGTGAAGGAACTGACCAGCATCAGGGCTTCTCTACACCTGATCTCGCTGGAGCCAACTTCCTCTTTCAAAGTCACTCCTCTTTCCGCCCCCAAAAGGGTTTTCATGGCTCATTTGTCCTCACCTCTGAATTTAAAAAGTGTCATCACTAAAGCTCATTTACCCCGCTTAAATCAGAGACTAAAAATTGTCTTTACTGACGTAGGCGGGAGAGTGCTCGGGAGGGGGATATGACTAGCAGGATCCTTACGGAGGTTGTGTCCTATCAGCAGGGGACTGGCTTTGCAGTGAGTCACAAAGCCCTTCAAGCTCTCACCTGATCGGGCAACTAGCTTATCATATAATGTCTCAGGATCCCAGTCTGTAGAATGGGAATCATACCCACCTGACCTCCCTTCCAGAGCCAGAGACCAGTGAACAGACTCTTACTGTAAACAAATACAACCTCTCTGGTTTGGAAAGTACTTGAGGGTGAATGAAAAGCCCGGCAAATGGCTGAACGTCAGAGACAACATGACACCGTGGCAGCTGGCACAGGAAGTCCGGCTCTGGAGCAGCATCGCATGGACTTTTACTTCTGTTTGAAGCATTAGTGAGGAGGCTCTTTTTCCCCCACCGCTGTCAGGAAGCCCAGGGGACGCAGGGCCTGCATGATGGAGCAGCTCTGGCTGCAGGCGCCCGAGTCACACCCCTCCTAAACGACTCAACGAGCCCGCACAAGCGCCTGACGATAAAGGCAGGGAGGAAGGGAAGCTCGCATCAATGTCGGAGTCAGGAGTGCTTTTCCAAACTGTTGCCCTGGGTCTGAAAAGCTTCAACAGAGCGTTCTCAAGACGAATACTGGAACGATTTCAGAAGTCAGGAGGGAAATCGGCTCCACGCCCCTCTCCCTGTCAGCGTATTAAGCAAAGCGCACGGCACACAGACCCTGGGAACCCCGATGTTTGGCCTTTCACCGGGATTAAGTATATATTGCTCTGTGTCACAGTGAGAATGGGACTCCCAGACTCAACTCATTTATAGGCGACCACATCAGACTCGATGCTTCAGAAGCCAGCGTTGTGCAAAGGGACAGGAACCTTTCCCATTCTGAGTTCAGAGTTTACGTTGTGGGGAAGGTGGCACTTTGCTAACCGGAAAGAAGTTAGGAACTTAATGTGAAAAACTCCATGCAAAGAAAGTCTTATACCCCGAGAGAAACTTCCTACAAGTCAAAGTCCCCTGCATGTCACAGACCTTAAAAATTATCAGCCACCGCTGACTCATCTGACCATCCTTTGTGGTGGGCACATCTGGCAGCCATGGCCACTAAACCGTCTGAAGCCAGAACAGAGCACAAGGTGTGAGTGACCCCACCACTCCCCACCTCCCCAGCCCCCCACAGACAATCCCTCACCCGGAAGGCCTGAGAATCAGTCTCCGTGTGGGCCCTCGGCCCCATGACCTAGGCGAGACAGGCACCTCGGCTTCGTGAGCCTGCCTGACTGTTCTGGCCTCCAATTTGGGCTTCATAATATGAAAAAAGAACTCAACGGTACCTTTCTTGCTTGTTTCACATTGCTGTCTGAAAATAAAAATTGCCTGGGAAAGCACTTTACAAATTGTAAAATAAAATGAAGACCAAAATCGAATAGGTACACAGAGGCAGAGTCAAGCCTGCAGGGTTCTAGGGTCTTTACAGCTTCCTTTAAAGGTTTAAAAATTGCGCTGAGTTACATTTCCGCCTCTCAGAGCTGGTTTCTGAACAGGATGCCTTTAGCCCAGGACTGAGAGCCCCATTCTCTCAACTAGTCACCTGCCACGAAGAAGCCTGACTTGTCTTGAGATAAGCAAAAGCCAGTATGTACGATATGGGGCCTTTCCTGGTTTGCACTCACCAAGTTATGGCCTAAGTTACAGCTCGGAAGACAACTGGTCATCCAGTCTGTCCAACATGAGCTTAAACAAGGCAAAGCGCAATGCTCCCTTGGCCTGACTGGCCAGCAGGGCCACCCTCAGCTCTCCTGCTCAGCACCCACCCCCACCCTCTCCCGCCCGCTGGGCCAGGCCCCACCTACCACCACTGGAGCTGATGAAAAGTCACTCTCAGGAATTCTGAGCATAAACTTTACTTCTCCCACTAAAAATGAATAGTTTTTACCTTCTAGAGCCCTAAGCACATTTATTTTGGGGCTAAGAATCTCTGAAAACATAATAAAGAGAAAGGATGTTCTCCTCAGGGTAGAGCTGGCCAAAAAATGGCTCAGGGTGTGCACAGAATGCCTCTTTCTGGCCCATACGCGCCACATTATTTATTCTAGCCTGGCAACAACCCACATGTCATTCCTTCCCTTAAGTACCCTCAGGAAAACAAATGCCGCACTAGACCCTCCAAACTGAGAACAGGCCGAGTGTGGGCAGGGCAGACCTTTCTTTAGGCATAAGAAGACTAACCCGAGGATCCTCCCTCTTGGGTAAAAATGCAGCATCTTTGAACCAAAATCAGGAGGCTGGGGAAGTGGAGGAGCAGCTGAAGGAGAGACGCAGGGGCGAAACGTGGCTTACCTTTGGGTAGTGACTCAGGGGTCATGTCAGACATGTCCACACGGAAGAGCAGGTATTGCTGGGCTTGCATGAGGAGTCCTGGGAAGTCTCTCTCCACAGACGCAAACTGTTCAATCTTGTTTTTCACAGATGCTAGGACCTGTGAAAAACGACATTAATGATGTTGATGCTTCAAGCAGAATTCCATCCTGTGATCAATATATCTTCCAGGTACAGCTCTCATTGCAGGAACTATTACGACATCACTTTTAACAGCCTTGGTGTTTTGGTAGGGCACCCTCTACACATCGAACTAAATGGAGCTTTGCAGTTTGTCTAGAATAATCTACACAACCAGCAAAATCAGACAGGGAAGGAGAACCAATGATTAGAACAGAGGAATTTTTGAGAAACAACAAAATAACAGGAGAAGGCGGGAAGGATCCCTGCTCATTAGCACCCATCAAATCGACAGGTACTCGATTTGATGGGCTCGGCTGACTCACCTGATAGAGAGAACGGACACTTGGCTGGAAGACCATGTTGGTGTTGAGCAGGAAGGAACGCAGGAGTGGCTGGGGGTAGCTGGCTAGCTGAGTAATGATCCCAATGAGCAGCAAGTTAACGTGCAAAGAGTTCTCCAGCATGTTCTCCAGCTTGGACAGGACCACACTGATGAATGGGCCTGCGGGAGGAATACAAGGCTTCATTCAGGGCTGGCTGGGCACATGGGTATGTCCTTCCCTGACAACTAAGGAGCCACTGGAGCCACAGCTCCCAAGCCACAGGCCCAGCCGGTGCAGATCAGTAGAGGCACAGGAAATGCAGCCAGGTATCCTGCAGCCTCAAACCAACACACAAAACCAACCACCGCCACAATGAGAGAGCAGAGAAAGGTACACAGGAGCTTGTGGGATTTTGACTCCACAAGCAGTTTTGATACTTGAAACATTAGCATCGACCTTGACAAATAACTTAATTAAGATTTAAAATATACTTTTCCACACTGTTTCTATATTTCTTGGTGTTGCCAACGCTCAGAAACATGACATTTATCATCTCATGATGCTGCGTGCTCTAGAGCTTCATGGAAGTGTTAGAGGCCATCGAAAGTGTTGGTAACAAAAAAAAATCTTTGTTATTAAAGAAATATTGAACACATATGAACTGTGTTTATTAAATAGTGACACTGTGAACAGGAACTGTCTATCCCCAACAAGCACCATGGGAAAGATTCTGTCTTGTGAAATGTCACACTGTAGAACGGGAAGAAGAGGGAGACCGGAGTAGAGGAGGACCAGGCTAGCATGTCAGAAGCCCCGAGCAACTCGGCAACCACACTTTAATTTTCAGATGGTGGGGAGAGGGGAGAAAAGGGACTTGGGTTCGGGAGATATAGTTTGGTATGTCAGAGGTTCCTTAAAAAAGAAAATCCATATTTCATTTAAAAAAAACAGTTCATAAAAAAAAAATTAAGAAACAAGGAACTTCAACTAATTTGGGTCACTAGAAAAGTATTATGCTTTATGTTTGCATTCACTGAAGACAGAGAAAATCAAGAAAATTAACCTGGCATTAATAAATTGCTGGAAAATGTTTTTCACATTTACCATCAAAGTGGTTCATTCAGCTCTATCGATGAGAGTTTTGTTTCCCCCGGTGGAGCTACTGATGACGCCACTACACACAGCATATTTATAACAAAGCGCACATCCCTTGATGAGTAAACGTGCGGTAGGAAGATCTCGCCAACATTAATGAGTTACACAGAAACATACTTCATCACAAGATGCTTCATTCAGAAGCATTAGCCGTGTAGGAGAGTAAAACCCTTTGCAAGAAGACAGAACCTACCTGTGAGAAATGGAAACGCCAAGCCCGAACCTCTCACCCACGTGGGCAAGTAACAAGGTAATGGCAACAGCCCTGTCACCAGGAACGCAGTGCATGTCTCTAAGGGGCCTCGGAACACACAAGAGGCACCATCCGCTTATGTGTCGGGCTTGGCCCCAACTTGGGACAGGGTGGGGAGGGGGTGCTGAGCTCCTCAGTCACAGCCCATCACAGCAGGTCAACGAGTTCTCCCAATACAGAGCCTTTGGAGAGCCCGTGCCTACAAAGCAACACGGGCAGAGTTGGCCGAACACATTCGGAAATGCTGGATGGGAACCCCCATTTGAAAGCAACTTGATGGGGTTCCAAAAAGAACCCCAGGAGTGTCACCAGTAACTCTTCTTAAGGTGTCACAACACAATTCTAGCTTTCCAGGAGTGTCACCAGTAACTCTTCTTAAGGTGTCACAACACAATTCTAGCTTTCCAGGTAGATCTACAAGAAGGCTGCTGTCCTCATACCCTCATAAACCTTGGACCCAGTCTTCCCCTGCCTGTCTCCCGCTCCCACTCAGTCGCAGGCTCAGCATCTATTTCCTTCCAGAGGGAACAGACAAGTCATATGCGGTGGGTAGAGTCCCCTGTAAAACACACATCCTTAATGTGAGCCCTCTATGTCCCTACCACTGTCCCAGCCTGTACTTGGCCTCATTCGGCCATCCTACAAATGTGAAAGTTGCTGACTGTGCAGTGACCAGGGGAGATCATCTGCAGTCCATCACCACCGTAAGGCAGGAGAAAAAAGTTCGACTCACACCCTGTGGAGAGTGTCATCACTGTCTCACTCGAATGACAGAATATTAGGTCAAGGCCAGAAGACTGTCATTGTACTCGCTAATGACATACAACTTCATAGGCATGTTCAATAAGAAATATATATTAAACCCTTTCAAATTTCTGTCTTATTCTAGCACTTAAAAAGAACTGCTTAGCCAAAAGCAGTTGCTAGGGGAAACTGATAAGCAGCTGAAAATCAGAAAACTCAGCTACAATTCAGAGAGCCACCAGTGTGTATAGGGGATGGAGAGTGTGGTTCCCCCTCCCCCCAACCTCTTCCCCTAGGAGGACAGATAAACAACCTGGCCATAAAATATTTTGCCCCTCAGACTCTGAGAACCGAGCTGCTATGGATTCTGTGCCTCAGCTCTGCCAACCCCACCTTGGAAATCTCTCCTGAACTTGGACCTTCACCTCCACCTCCCACACCAGCACTGCCTGAGGTCAGAGACTCATCCTTTCTCGTCTGGACTTCAACAGTAGCTTTTCTGTTTTAATAGAGATTGAAATGATTCTAATTTTTTTTTTTTTCTTCAAACAGTAGAGAAGTATAAAGAACAGGCCTCTCCCCTGAAGGCAGTCCCTGTTAACAGATTCTAGTGTTTTCTTCCAGAAATGTTTTATGTATATAATAAAGTAATGAAATTATTAAAAACATTTATTAATTGCTTATACATGCCAGGCAGTGTTCTAAGCACTTAACTTGTATCAACTTACTCAACTACAATGACTCTATGAAGTATGTTTATTATTTATCCCCACTTAAAGATAAGGCAGAAGGACAGGTGCACACAGTTAGTAAATGAAAGAGTCTCAATTTTAATTCAGACCTGTTTCCAGTGCCTGTACTGTTAACACACACGATATCTTGCCTCCTCGTGTGTCTGTGTGTGTGTGTGTGTGTGTGTGTCCGTGTCCTCCTCCACCGGTATTTAAAAAAAAAAAATGACAACACTCTGTACACACTGCTCTGTACTTTGCTTTTCCATTTAACACTATATCATGGAGACTGTCCCACAAATCTGTCTCATCCTCATTTATCTCAGGGCTAAAAAATATCCAATCACCATCACTATGGGTGCTGCTTTAGTAAAACAGTCCTCCTGGTGGACCACGGGTTGTTTCCAGGCTTTTTCTATTATAAACAATGCTGCAGTGAACATCTTTGAATATATATCTTGGTATATAAGCGTGAGTACAGCTGTGAAAATGTTTCGAGGGGCAGAATTACCAGATCCAAGCCTTGGTGCATTTTGAAATCTGACACGGCAACAGTCTCTTACTTGTCCTCTCCCGCTCGACTGCTCCCCATACTACTTCAAGGCCTCTTCACACACGGAGCCAGTCACATCTCTTGCCAACTGTAATACTTGTAGTGCATCTCCAGTGCCAGCAGCACAAGGCCCCATGCCTCAGCCTGGCCCAAAGGACCCCTATAAGCTGGCACCAAGTTCCCCAGCTTCCTCTCTCATGCACACTTCCTCTCTGCCACACACATCCACGAGCTGTCAGTCTCCTTTGTCATCCGCCTGTTGTTTCCTCTGCCTGGACTGTCATTCTCAGCCACTTCTACCTGGGAGCTTCTGTTCACCGCTTGTGTCCCTCTGTGAAGCCTTTCCCACCCCCTGCACTGGGCTCCCACAGGAGTTGGAATACAATGACTAATAACACATTTCTCACGAAGGAAGTGCAGCTCTTTGTTGATGTCTCCTCTGAAAGTCTGCAAATTCCTTCATTGTTGTGTCTTTAGTACCTAGCATAAAACTTGCCAAATTTTAGGGCATCAGTAAAAGACTGCTGAACTCACAAATAAATAAAATTAAATAAATGAAATGTACATAACTTTAGGACATATCTTTTCTCTTTCAAAGCATGTGAACTTTGTAGTCTCTAAACTTCTGAGTGTGTCCTGGAGCGTTAGGCTTAACTTCCATCTCTCCATGGAATCCTGATTACTGCCAAAAATGAATTTCCCTCCCGGCAAAATCAAAATGTTACATTTCATTTATTTAATTAATTTTATTTATTTGTGAGTTCAGCAGTCTTTTACTGATCCCCTAAAATTTGGCAAGTAGTTATGTACAAGTTTCAAAGGAGAACAAGGCAAGTTTTAGTTACAATTACCTATAGGCATCCAAAATCTCACATTATGTTTTGCTCGTTCTCAGGTGTATCATATGCAAAATATTGATGTTACTTAATAAGGTGTCGTATTCACTTTTTTTTTTTTGTCCTAAACTATACTTTGTGTCTTCAATTTACATATTTCTGAGGGATGAAGCTCCTTTGTAAGAAAGCTGACAATGTAAAGAAAGATCTTCGTTGGCCATGGGTGGCCCTGACTCCCAGAGAATGCTCACAGCAGGGACCCCTCGCTGGGTGACAGTGAAAGGGACACGTCCCAGGCGAGTGGGGCACGTGCTGGGTCACTTCCGCCCCTTGCCCTGCGCTGAGCCCCCTGCCCCAGTCTGCTCTTCCCCCTTCCCCCTTCCCCTTATCAGCTGGGAAAACTGAGACTATCTAATCCTCTTTGCTTGTGACTGACTGATTGAATTTTAATTAAAACCAGTTCACATTGAAATGTTAGCTCAACTAGAACCTCAAGCCTTTTAATTGTGGAATTAAAAGCGTTCCCCCTGTTTAAATAGATTTTCAGGCATCAGTAAATAGATGAATATATATTGGAGGAGGGTGGAAGAGCTCCTTGAAATCACATTAAGCCTACCTGGCTGAACCAGAAGGTAATGTGATTTCATCTATTTTGGGTGACCCAAGGAGACGGGAGCGTGGTCTCTCCTCGCCAGGCTGCTCCTGATTGCTAGGGAAGGACAAGCCTCAGCAATCAGGAGCGGGGCTGCCTGTAATCATAATAATGGCCCCCCAGTATCACACCAGTCTTCACAAGGGCAAAGGGAAAAAGGGAAGGTCAGGGACACCAAGGCCACATGGCAGGAAGTGCTAGAGCCAGGATTCCCCGACGGGCCTGACTCCCAGACCACTGTCTGACCCTCTGAGATGCCAGCTCCCTTAGGGACCCACTCCTTGCTACCTGAGCGCCATTCGGGGGGCCCACACCAGCCATCTCTGGGCTTGATGAACTCTGCTCTGTGCCAGTTCTCTCTGCACCTCAATCTGCAGATTCAGATTTTACTGGCTAACATGTAATGACATTTTGTATCATAATTCCTCACCCCAATCCATTTATCTGATATCCCACCCTATCACCTGGCTTCTCCCATGAGGTCTACCTGTTGTTAGGGGTGTATCACTGGAACACCCATTCTTTAGTAGAGTTATGAGTTTATGCGGGTCTACTATACTTATTTCTTGATGAAGATTTTGTGATTATCTAAAATGAGCTCCCAGGCAAAGGCATAAGTAACCCCGATGGCCTCTGATGTGTACACAGGTACATGTATCCAGCAAGTATTCTGAGCTCCTACCACGTGCTCGTCACTGCTCAGATGCTGCGGCTGCGGCACAGATCAAGCCAATACCCGGCCCCTAATGGACCATACATTCTGGTGGGGAAAAAATGTAACTTTTAAAAAAATACACATAAAAATAAATGCTAAGGAGGAAATTAAGTTAGACTAAAGGAAATGAGGCTGTTAAATAATGAGACCATGTCTATGGCCATGTGACCCTGAGCAAGCCCGATCCCGTCTGATCTCAGAAGCTAAGCAGGGTCGGGCCTTGGTACTTGGTACTTGGATGGGAGACCACCTAGGAAGACCAGGTGCTGTAGGAGTAAAAAATAAAAAATAAGGGATTGTAAGCTGACAATCTGTGAGGTCAACCAAGGGTTGCGAGGCTATTAAATAATGAGACTGCATTTCTTGTGTGGTTTCAGCAGTCCTATTACTTTATCACAGGCATATCAAGGGAAGTTGCTCAACAGTAAAATTTAACTCCTAATTTGCTGGGGAGGAAAAATAAAACAAGACAATCATTGCAAGAATGACAAAATTAAATAAAAGTGAGACAAGTCCCTCTGCTCTTTACAAAAATACCTTCGCCCTCTGTGCGGCAAATGGGTAACACTCCTTACCTGCACTTACCTTACTTGCCTGTTGTAATATGCATAAAAGTACTTTCAAAGACAGAAATCACAAAGGATGATAAGATGGTCACCTGTGAATGGCGTGCTCTGAGTCCTCATGGGCTGGGGACTAGCAAAGGCAGTCTCATCTCTCACCCCAAACGGGGATGACAGGGTCTCGGGGGCAGGGGCTCCTGCTATGAAAGAGTCAAAGTCATCGTCCTCCTCCTCCTCCTCCTCTTCCCCTTTGCTCTCTGCTTCCTGCCCTGCTTGATCTTGTGTTTGGAGCAAGGGGTCAGGTGAGGAGAAATTCTGCCCTATCAAGCCCTCGGTGCCAGAATCCAGTTCTTTAATGATCTGGTCATACTGGGAAATTAAATCTTCACCCTCTGGGTGAATAACGATCAGGTCTGAACTGTGCTCCACCTCACAGACAGGAGGTGCTAGCTCTGAGCTTAATCCTGGGGCTACTTCAGGTTCAGTGTCTTCTTCTGGTTCCTTGGACACACTCTGAGATTCGTCCGCATTGTCCCTGATGTGTTCCTCCTCCGAATCTGTTTCTGGCCGAGGGCTGGGCAGGGGGCCGTTGCTCATGGCGGGGCTCTGGACCTCGGTCTGGCCTTGGGCTGGGGGCCTTGCAGGTTCCTCCTGTGGATTCCGAGCATCCTCAGAGTCCTTCTCAGCACACAACCTGTACACCATCACGTCGTCCTGAAAGTCGGACTCTTCGATGTAGGACCCCTTGAAGAGCAGGATGGCGTTCTTCTTCATCTCCTGGATGTGTTTGGGGGGATCGATTGGGGCCGGGGGGCCTGAATTCTCCAGATCGTCACCAGGCCCAGGGGAGCCTGCATCCACCCCTGAGGAGATCCCGGTGTCATAGCTGTCGTCCCACTCCAGTTCCGTCTGGCTCTTGTCCTTCCTCGAAGCCAGCTGAGGCCCCGTCCTTCTGGGGAGCTGCTGCGGGAGCTGGAACACAGGGTAGGTGGCGCTGGCAGTGCTCTCCTCTGTCAGACTCTGGAGAAACGTCTCAGGGTCAGGGGAGTCCCCGTCATAGAGGGCGGACCAGACGCGGCAGTCCCTCATGCAGCGGAGGATGTTGGCGTGAGCCTCCCACAGGTACTGCAGGTAGCTGATGTCCAGGGCTTTGCCATACTCCACGATGCAGGCCAACGGCGAGAACGCCTCGGGGAGTGGCTGCTCCATGGGCCCTGCCACCGGATGCAGAGACAAGTCAGAACGAGCCTTCTCCTCATACTTTATAGTGATGTGGGGACAAACGCACTGGACGGGGATGTGACCCATCAGGCTGCTAAGATTTTCTGTCACCATCTACTTTGGTTCTAATAGTTTCTGATTAAGTGATTTCTGAATAATAAAAAATATATAGATTTTAAGAAGGAAAGATAAAAACAGAAACTCTGCCCTCACAGGAGATATAGAATCAATATGGCAAGTCAGATACTGGCTTTCGTCAAAAGAAAACTCTTATTTGGTAGCGGTCATTAGAGAAATAAGAGCTAATAATGGCAACCTCTCAGGCACTTGAGAGGATTAAAGTAGGTAATATATTGAATATATTACCTGCCATAGTGTAGGTAATAATTAAAAAGATTTTTACTTTGACTCTAAAGTGGAAGGCCAATAATCCATGAATTTAGGAAATGGATTTTCTTTAGAAAACCCTAGGTTTTCAGAAAAATCTGTTAACTCTTTCTGTCTTCCTAGGAACTACTGGAATGTCGATATGTACCAAATGGTCTCTTACGATAAAGTTATTTTCACTACCAAAAGAGTCCTTCTAACCTAAGAATGAGTCCAGAATGAGTTCTCATATGATACAATGCACTTGACGTTAAAAGTCCTCAACTGCAGAACTTCAGGGGGAAAAAAGGGACTCGAACAAGGAAAAATACATAGTCTACTATTTCTTAAACATCTACTATGAGAAAGGTGCTTTATTAGTGCTATCGAATTTAATCCTCAGAACAACCTACATGGCAGATATTATTTTCTCCACTTACAGATGAAGAAATTGAGGCTCAGAGACAAAGATCAACTGAGTGACTAGTCGGCGGCAGAGCCACAGCTCGCGCACAGCAGCCTCACGCCAACCCTCTGTTCTTACTTCATTAGATGAAACACCTTTGAAAGCTTCTTGTTTCTTCATTATCTAAATCTCTACCCAAGGGGGCTAGAATTAGACCTTTAAGAATACACATTTTCAGGACATCAGGGTAGGCACAATTCGTTTTTTATAGCTCTGCTGCTAAACGGTGTTTATCTCTTATCTGCTTTAAATAAAAAGATATTGAAAAATGACTACTAGCAATATTTATTCAGCACTTACTCCATGCCAAGTAGTCTTTGAAGAGCTTTATAAGTCCAAGGTCACTTATCCTTGGAACAACCTTTTAAGGTAGGTACTATTTTGCACATGAGAAAAAAAAAAAGAAAGGTTAAGTGACTTGCCCAAGAAAGCGGCAGAGCCCTAGATTTGGAATCCTAGCTCTTAATCACTCCACAGTGATTAAATTCTCTATCTACTCAACCGCCTACCTACGTAACCATCCATCTGTTAGGGCATTTACCTGCTGTCAGGTCAACCCAGGGCCAGGATGGTGGAAAGAACACGGAATTTGGAATCAGAGGACATAGCAGGTGTGTAACCCTGAACAGGCCAATCTAGAGAGACTCTCTGAGTCTGTTTCTTCATCTGTAAAATGAGCATCCAACTTTCTTTAAAGGGTTAAATGTGACAACCCAGGGAAAAAACACAGCTAGTCTCAGACACCCAACAAATGTATGTTTAATTTGAATTTTGAATTCTGCAGCAAGGTCGGCCACAGAATCATTCTTGAAAAAACATTTTTCTAGCAAATAAAGATGTTAATTTTCAAATATGTTTTGTAAAAAATAACCATTAGGTAGGAAAATATAAGATATTCATACTAGTTTACCTAATAGGAAAATATATTTAAAATCCAGCTTGTTATACTGCCACATGAATTATTAATTTCATGTATATACAGTATCTTTATTTAAAGGTAATTTTTAATTTTTAAAAATTACATTAATATCAAATATGCTGATATTTTCTTCATCAAGCAGCTCAGCTACAGCTGGGTGGACAGAGTGACATTATTTGGGAGACATCAGAATATAGATTAGAAACACCTGAGTCAATCAGGACTGGAACGTTTCCTAGTGGTCACAGGACAGGCAGAATCTTCTGAAACAGACCACCAAGGATACACAAATGTCCCCTCGCTCCAGCTGCCTGCTGGAGAGCCAAGGTTTACAGAGATGACCACTTAAATCTTAACTTGTACAAGGTCAACCGCAGCTGGCAAATAGCACATGAACTGTAACTCCTGTAAAAACAGAGTATTTATGAAAGGCCCCTCTTTAGGTCAACCAAGTGAATCAGGTACAATTGCCATAGCACAAATTTCAAGTTTTATGATGATGTATTATCGACAGGCAAGTATTCAAAATGGGCCATTTTGGAAACTGAAATAAGGGCCAGTTCTACCTTAGCTATAGCCATATCCACATCCCTCGCCCCTATTTTGTTTAGAAGACATGGTTTCACATTTGGATTCTGAAAGTGTCACTAGAAAGCCTAGTGAAAATAAAGGCCTGGAAGCACCGAATGGGTGACAGCTGGTCATGTCGAAACACTGACTACAAAGTGTCCACGACTCCTTACAGAACAGAACAGGACCCCCTACATGGTCATTCATAAAAGAAATGGGACTCACTATCTTATTCCTATCCTCCCAAAGAGACACATATCCCAAGGAGAGATGGGATCTGGCATCCTTGTGTGTAAAGATCATCACTACCGAGTTCCTACCTGAACTATCGTGTGTACACTTCGACCAGAGAATATAATCCCTCTCTTGGTTCCCAAGCGTCAGGGTGATCCCGCTGGAGCAGCAGATGGGGGTCAGGGCGAGCAGCTTGGCCGCAGAGACAGAGTAACAGTCTCTCTCCTTCACAGCCCACCTCTGACTCAGCATCATGTGATTGCAAGGGATCAGATACCTAGAACGACAAAAAGGGCAGCATTCGGTCTCCATTCCCAGGCAGTCATCCCCGAAGCTGTAATCAGGATTCGTAGTGGTCGGGGTGATCCATCCACTCTCTGCCCACTGCCAATCCATCCCACCAGTCCCCAGGGGTCCCTTCCTTGCTTGAGACTTGTCAAGAGCTTCTTTCTTCTGACAGAACAACCCCTGTGCAGAGCATCTGAGGGCCTTCACAACTGAACCTCCATAAACTTCCTCCTCTCTTCATGGGTCCGCGATCCCTCTTTGCTTCTGTGTCTCTGCATGCACCGTAACGTTCACCTGGAGGATGCTTTCCCTTTACCTGCCTGACGAATGCCTTGTCATCCTACAAAGTCCAGCTTCAGTGTCACCTTCACTAGGAAGGCCTCCAGGCTTCCGACTCCAAGGTGGAGCTACTCTCTCGCTCCGCTATGCACACAGCCATCTACTAAAACACTATTACCACAATTACTTTGGTGTCTGTCTCAATATAATGTGCTACTAGAGCCAGGACCTCCTTCAATGGTTTCTTTGTATAACCCTGGAAACGCTGACTCACAGTGGGCACTGAAGGACAGCGGAACCACCCCAGAGAGCAAACCTCATCTCCTATTCTCCTAGGTGACTGAGACTCACCGAGGAAAAGTGGGCCTCATTTCACACAAAATACTTTCGGTTGGTGATAAAAGCATCTTAGTCTCATTAAGACCCTGGAGATAAGAAAATCTGGGCATTCATTTCTGACGCACTCAGAGCACATCATGGGCTTCATGGGTGGAAGAGTGTTTAAACAGCCTGCTTTCTTTACAGGGAGAAAGACTATTCTGTTTGACAAAGATAGAGCAACTGGGATGGAGGTCTCGCAGCCAGAGCCAAGTGTCACGTATGTGTGCAGGAGCCAATTCCAGAAGTGGCTGAGCCATTATGGGAAAAACCACAATCTTCGATTAACCAGAATATTTTTGTTTCTGTACTTAACTTCTGAGAAAAAGGCAGCAGTGCAGAGAAAAACAAGCTACGATTAAAGATTCTATGAAAGAGATAAAATGTAGAACTTTCAGGGTATGACTTGAGGCCTGTAGATATTAAGCCATCTCCCACAGCTGTTGATCCAAATGAGGAAAACCTATGCTTGTAGTGATGACTGACCCATTGCAAGTGCCTGAGTCAAGGAGGAAAAAACATATTTAATTCTCGTCATGGTACTTTAAACAAAAGGTCTTAATAACTTTCAAGGTACAAAATGAAGAGGTCGCCACTTAATCTTCCATTCTCAAAAGCAATCAAACCATTCCTCCAGGACTCTGTCTTGGTGGCTAGATCAGGGGGTCCCGTTCTCCTCTCCCCTGCACCGTGGGCACACACACTCCTGAAGCCTAAACTGCTGTCACTAAGATCCAGAGCACCCTGCTGTCTGACATGGAGGCATCTGTTTTTTGTAAGTTCAGTTTCACAAAAGTCAAAGTTTACAAGAACAAAAGAAAGATGGAGGAGGGCAGTATGACAAAGAGGGCATGTCTGTTCTAATTGCTGGCCCAGCTTTGAGGGGCTTATACCTGATGCCTTTTGGAGGAGAAATGGCTGCTGTCAGTAGATAATGGAGCTCTTTTCACAAGGATCTCTGAGCACAATGTTTTGGTGATACAGAATGAGGCAGGGGAGAGAGGCCTTCTGCCACCTGTGTGACCAGCCCAGCCCTGGCCCCGCGGGCACAAGGGCCGGCAGAACTGCGCCAGCGCCTCAGCACAAGAGCAATCTCAGCAGGGGCGAGGGCCCAGCAAGGACGGAGATGAGGCAGCACCACCCAAAGGGGCCTCAGCAGTGGAGGAGACCGGAGCACAGGCTGCTGTGGCTACTGTGCTAGGGGCAGACTTGTTCGTGAGCCCTTCCCTTAAGGAAGTGATGGCTGACACTTTGCTGAGGGCCAAGGTCTTGGATGAGGAGTGGAGGTGATGGCCAAGGAAACCTGTCCTGTGGATGTTGATGTGAACTCCTCTTTTCTTAAAGGCTAGTGAGGCCTAAGGAAATTCAGGTTACACAGGATTTATTGTGTCCTTATTTTGATCATTAATTATTTAAGAAATAAACCACTTCAATGCTTTTATATACTGCAGGAACTCGATGACCACTTACAGTTCAAACACACATTTCATGACTTAAGTTGATATCCATAGATTTCTACTCTTTGTTGAAGTATTAAAAAAAATGGCATACCGGATCAAACCTAATAAAGCTATTTATCAAACAGCACCAGTGGGTAGCTTGAAATTATATTAAAGAGTTCTTGGGAATTTGCAACTTTGCAAATACATGCTTTCAGCAGAAACTAAAAATTTTCTTCTGAGTAAATCAAATAAAGAGCGATCCCCTATAGGTTGAAGGAGAGGTTCTACAAAAGTGGAAATGAATAACCACTTTGTATTTAATGCAGTACTTCTACTGTGCTTTTATAACGAAGGCTTATCTCAGAGAGAAGAAGAGGAAAACCGTCCACTGACCCTCTGTCTTTCCATCATTTACAGGGAAAGATAACAAAATGAATGTTCACTGCATCATTATTTACAAGACCCAAGATATGGCAGCAACCTAGATGTCCATTAATAGATGAATGTATAAACAAGAGGTGGTACATTATGCAATGGAATATGTTACTCAGCCATATAAAGAATGAAATCCTGCCATTTGTGACAACACGGAGGATCTAGAGGGTATGATGCTAAGTGAAGTAAGTCAGAGAAAGATGAACATCACATGATTTCACTTATACATGCAGTTGTTTAAAAAATCAAAATGAACAAACAAAACAAAACAAATTCATAGAAACAAAGAACAAAATGATAGTTGCCAGAAGGGGGAGTCAGGGATGGGTAAAAAAAAGCGAAAGGGAATATATCAATAATAGTGTGATTAATGTACGGTGACAGATGGTTCCTAAACTTAGGGTGGTGACCACATCGTAAGATTATATAAATGTTGAATCACTATGTTATAGACTTGAAACCAATACTATATTATATGCCAACTATACTTTAATTTTTTTAAAAAGAAATGGAACAAATGTCAGAGGCTCCCCAAATGTTAAATGTCAAAATGCAATGGCTGTCGATAGCAGAAAAATCACTTAAGAATTTAGGATAGGTATTTGTCATCAAACTGCCTTTTCATTTATACTGTATTTCTTTTGTTTGGGATTCTATTTAAATGCAGAAAGTGGTAAAAAATAATCATAAAGTAGTAAATATCTGATTTTAGAAGTCCAGATCACTCAAAAGCATCCCATAATATAGCAGGGAAATAGATATATAGTCCATGTTGTCCTCCTCCTTTTCATTATTTCTCCAACCCTGTGCAACCCTGGGTCTATTTTCTATTTTCCTACATATCACTCATTAAAATAAATCATCATCGCTTCTGAAACAATTCAGTGACAACCAGTCAATAACAAAGCACACATACTACCTACTGCTACACTGACAATAAAAACAGAACAAAGCAGTGAGTACAATGCAGAAAGCGAGGTGCTTTTTATGAGATGACGATAACCTGAATAACATGCCAATAGGCAAAAATCCAAAAAGGAATGTTAGTGAATTTCAAAAAAAAAAAGATCGTTTGGTTTTCAAAGACAGTCTGGCCATATTTCTCCTGTTAGTCTTGCCCCACCTGGGCTGGCTTGCATTTTTTGCTCTCCTCCAGGCACCTAACCACCATGCAAGATGGAAATGTCACTGAAGTGTACACGCAGCTTCTCTTTGAGCAAAACAGCCTCTATCTGAACCCAACAGGCAACATAGTTCATAAAGCTGACAATGGACTAGCACTACTGAAAAAAAAACACTCTAACCAGAATATTCATGAATGGCATTCAGAGTAGTAAGCAATTAAATTTTGCCTAAACTGGGAAGAGCCAGGAGTATGGGAGTGATCTGTCACTTCACTGCTCATCGGCATTTCCCGTCCACCTTCGGCCTGTCATATGCCACATGCATGGAAGAGGACCGTTTCTCCTTGGTTTTCTGCTCACTAAAATAGCCTCCCTTTTGGAAGCATCTTATCTCAACTTACTTTTCTGACATTTTGCTAAATGAAAGAAACGTTATCAGTTGCAAATGGATTATCACTTGAAATGTCAGTATTTAAAAGTATTCGGGTTGCAATAAAAATTGACGCATGGTTATTTATTTGTCACATAACAAACAACTTCATTAAAAGGATTCGCATAATCTTCACTGCTCTATTGCCTCTCAGATCTTCAAATTTATCATGTACATTCAAATAACAACAGTGGCAACAACAAAATGGATGGATTACAAATCTGCTTTTTTAACGTCCCTTAAAATAAAGTTTAAATAACTAGCAGAATAAAGATTTTTCATTGTCCTTACTTTTGGTACAGATTCTAAATCAGAAGAGACATTATTTTCATTAGTTTAAAATGTATTTTCTGGAATATTCTCCTCCCTTAAATTTGTGTAGTATCTTATGGAATTTCAAAACGTTTTCACAAGTATCACCACAGTTGATCCCCTCAAGAACCCCATGAGGCAGCAAATTCCAAAAGCAGGGTAAGACGAGTCAACCCAGCAGTTCACTCCCGCTCTGGAGCTCTACCTGGGTATGTGACACCTTATTGTTCCAGCCTCCGCTGTTCATAGCTTGTTGTTGTATTTTCATCTCCTTCTCTCTTTCTGCTACAAACTTAGTAACTTCCTCCATCTATCTTCTAGTTCATGCTTTCTTAATCTTTGTCTTAATGAAATTTACCCCAAACACTCAGTTTTTCATTTTAATAGTTACCGTTTTTATTTCTAAGAGCTCCAGTTGGTTCTCTCTCAAATCTGCCTGTAATTTTTGCTTGATTATTAACATATCCATTGGCAAGGATATGGAGAAATCGGAAACCCTGTGCAATGTTAGTAGGCATGTAAAATGGTGGTGCGGCTATTATGAAAAATAAAAAATTTAAATACAATTACCATATAATCTAGCAATTCCACAGGGGAAGCAACCCAGAATGTCCACCAACAGATGAAGCTTCTGGGTGTATTCCCGAAGAATTGCTAGCAGGGTCTTGAAGAGAGATTTGTACACCCATGTTCATAGCAGCATTATTCACAATAGCCAAAAAGGGGAAGCAACCCAGAATGTCCACCAACAGATGAATATACAAAATGTGGTATAAACAATGTAATATTATTCGGCCTTAAACATGGATGAACCTTGAGGACACGACACTAAGTGAAATAAGTCAGGTGCAAAGAGGTAAATATCGTATGATTCCACTTATATGAGGTATCTAAAGTAGTCAAATACATAGAGTCGACAGAAAGTTGAATGGCGGCTGCAGGGGAAGGAGAGACGGGGAGTTATTGTTTAATAGATACAGAATGTTAGTCGTGCAGGTGATAACGGAGCTGGAGATGGGTGGTGGTGAAGGCTGCACAACAACGCGAATGTGCTTGATGTCCCTGAACTGTACACTTAAAAGCAGTTAAGATGGCAAATTGTATGTGCTGTGTATTTTACCACAATTAAAAATAATTTTTAAACGGGGGAAGAAAATCAGTAGTTCAGAGGACAGAGACCAGGAAGCAGAGGTTTCCTGCATGTCCGACTTCGGTGTAAGTTCTCTATTTGGCTCTTCTAATGGACACCTCCAGGCAGTATGGCAGAGTTAGAAATAGAGAAAGTATTATTATTAT